AGTTCCTATGAACATGGGTCCGCAAGGCCTTCGGTTAAAGGATACGGGGTGTTGAATTTTAATTTTTTTTTATTTGCAAAATCAATGATAAATACTTCAACAATTAAATTTTAATGGTATGATGAAAAATATGATTAATTAAAACAAAACATTAAGTTTTTAGAAGATGTTCAAATTGTTGCCCTTGTACTTCAATACATTTTTCCATTCTTCTTCTTAATGATTGACGGCATCTTTGAAATATTCCTAGGTTATTATGAAATCTATCTGCCGATTCCATAATTCTTATCCATAATTGTTCTTCATTATGTATTTCTACAGCATAAACTTCATTTTTCATAAATCCCCAAAATGAAAAATCGAGGGGATTAAGGTCGGGACTACGAGCTGGCCAGGGTACAGGCCCCCTTCGACCAATCCACCTATTTCCAAATCTCCTGTCCAAATATTCCCTTGCCACTCGAGAAAAGTGAGCTGGCGCCCCATCATGCATGTAATACATTCTTCCAATAATGGCCAATGGGACATCCTCTAATAATGTGTTTAAATCATTCTCCAAGAAATTTCGATACAGTGCACCTGTCAATCGATTGGGCAATCGAAATGGGCCAATTAAGTAATTGTCGATTATACCTGCCCACACATTAATAGAAAACCCATATTGGTGACTCCGAATTATAGTTTGATGAGGATTTTCATCACTCCAATGGTGCATGTTATGTAGGTTCAGAATACCATCACGACTAAAACTAGCTTCGTCAGTAAACAAAATTGATGAAATAATGTTTTCTCTTTGGTTTTGAAACCATTCGCAAAATTGTACACGAGGAACAAAGTCATGTTCCAATAGTGAATGAATTTTTTGGAAATGATATGGGCGAAGAAGTTGTTCTTTGAAAATTTGTCTAACTGATTCACGGTTAAGGTTTCGCACCGCTGAACTTGTTTTCCTGGTGCTTGTTCTCGGATTATTTTCTACCATTCGTAAAACAGTTTCTTCGTTTCGCACAGTGCGACGAGTTCTGGAAACCCCACTATTCAATTTTGGTTTTCTAAAACAGCCATCTTCTCCCAAACGCCTATGCACATCAATAAATGTTCGAACATTAGGAACTTGTCTTAAAGGATATCTTTCTCGATAGATACGTTGAGCTTCGTAAGAATTTGATCTAGCTTCGCCGTAACACATAATCATGTCCCTGTATTCTTCAAAAGTGTAGCGAACCATTTTTGAAAGCAATTTTGAATAATCAGTGAGAAAACCAATGAAAAACTTAATCAAGAACACAAAATACCTCTAACAATTATTATATTAGTTTGACAAGTGTCATTATGACACATTATTTAATTGTTATTTATCATTGTTTTTGCAAATGTTACTTTGGCGCTTTTTGAATAATTTGCGTGCATTGTCGGCTTTTGTACTGGAACCATTGCTTCTAGCGACTTGGACAAGGTATACCTTTCTTACGTATAAAGAAGGGATAACAAATTTTTTTCAGTCGAAAATGACATACAGTGTATAGCAAAAAAGTTAGGACCGATTCAATAGATATGGAACCCTGTATGTAGCGCCCTCTATCAGTAATCACAAAACTAAGATCATATTTGAATTTAGCATGATAAAAAAAACCCTGTATACCACATTTTATCCATTTCTTGCGTCTCTGGCTAAAGATTTTAAAAAAAAACCCAAACAAAAATAAAATTCAACACCCCGTATCTTTTAACCGAAGGCCTTGCAGACCCATGTTCATAGGAACTTTTTTTCTTATTTTAGTGTCCTCTATTGTGTGGCACTATGCAATGTACTTTTTTCTATGTCACCCTGTATAATGTAATGTAATGTTATGTAATGTGTATATAAATTATATAAATGAAAGATGAATTTAAATGAAGAATAAGTTTCTTAGCGTAGTAATATAAAATCGTTCAATGACACGAATCAAGCCGTCAAAATTATGGGGAAAAAATTAATTTATGAATTAAATAGTTTGTAACCTGAGAGGTTATGTATTCATTTATCCATCTACCGCTATGACCAGTATCATAACGATATTAACTGACAAAAGAGTTTACTATTAACTTCTCGAAAGGGAGTTTATAATTATCATTACACTTTAATTAATACGTGGGAACTTAGAAATGTACGTTTAGAGAATGCATACCATTCACTTACCGAATGTCGTTCATGTACAAGGTAATCCAGTGGTTGGTTGTATAGGGTGACACTTAAGTTGGAAGAACAAGAAAACACCATAACTTTCCAGGAAGGGTTTTTATAACAATAAAAAGAAACAAACAAAACAACTGTAACACAACAAACTCGGATCAAACTTTATTGATTCATTTACACGCGACGGCATACCGAGATTCAGGGAATGCGCGATCCATAGCAAAATTTGGAATGGCATTATCCATTATTAAATTAACCCGAGACTCTAAAACTGGAACCCAAGGAAAAAAACTGTCTGTTTTTCGGAGATCTCTCCTGAATTCGACACCTCGCTTCGACACGCCCATTTTTTGGGTCCAGAAGTTTCTGTTCTTATTTTATTGGTGGGCTCCTGAATATCGGGACGCGTTGGTATAACTATACTATCTTAATAATTACCTAATTGACTGAACTTGCATTTATATAAATAAATAATTCTGTGACTAACTGAACTCGCAAATAACCCTAGCCTTCCTCTAGTGACTCCGTGTAGCAATACGGGACGGATTAGTCAATCTCATTTAATATATTCGTATAGCTTGGAAAATCCGCCTAAAAACCAGCTATTTGATATATTACTATCTTTTTCAATTTATCAATTTAACAATTTCATTTAATTATAATTTGGAACCGTTACGCCTTTCTCGTGTTTTCGCGCGTTATTACAAATATGGGTTTCTTTGTTCTGTCCTCGACTACGCTGACGCCACCCGGACGCAACAAATGACTGTCACATGGCGATACGTTTTCACGAAGTTACTTAACTCGAAGTGTTTTGGGATTGTTCTAATTATCGGTTTGTAAATTTATTAGTCTCCGCGACAAAAGCTCTTCAGACCACCCTCGAATACAAATATTAACCCTCTTCTGACCGTGGTTGTTCTTAGAAGGCCTAATAGAACTATTGAGCCCCAGTCTTCCTGAAAACCGTCCCATAAATTACACGGATCTGGCATTTGTTAAGTTTATAAGATGCACTCATACACTACATAAAAAAGTTATAAATTATAGTAAAGTACAATTTGGTAAAGTTAGTTTTCATTTAATGTATATGTTTAAGGAAATTTGAAAAATTTCAAAATTTTGAAATTTCGATCGACAGGCAAAGAAGAAGTTTCACTTATAAATGAAGAACATGCAATAAAGCAAGATTAAAACTAAAGTTTAGCATACCTACAGTAAGAATTTATACCAGGGAATCAAATTTAAGTCTTTGTAAAAATTCATGTAACATTTTCGGAATGTAAAATCCATGTAGGGACTTATTTATAAAAATTGTAGTTGTAGTTAAGAGTGTAGGTGAACTGCAAAATGACTTGGGCAATGTGAAAATGACCTTCTAAATATCAAAAACTGTATTGTAATCCCGACTTAAGTTCCAATTTGTGTATAAACTGAAAGTTGTCAATGAACCTGAAAACATTTCGATTAATAAGCAATACAAATAGGAAAATACTGGTAATAGAGGTGAAAGAAGGTTAATTTTAAAAACATTGAACAAAATATCAGACGTAAAATTAAGGTAGAAATTAGTAAAAATTTCCAAAATTAAGCAAAATTCATAGAAATTTAAACATGCATAAATTCAATATTTTGAAATAAAAATTTGATAAAAGTTTAATTTGACGTATCCATGGCAACGAGTTCACTTGTTTTCAGTTTAATAAAAGTAAAAACACAGCAGTAGACATCGTCAATTTGTTCCTAAAAGAACAAAAGAAAATCAGATAAAATCAACAATTAGTAAGATAGTTACCAATCCAAAAACGTTAAAGTCAAAAACAATTCACATCGTTGAATGTCAAACGCCAAAGTGAACAAAATTCATATGTTCTGAATTACATAAAGCGTTTTAAACATAATGAAAGTTTAGACACTAAGGAGAGGTCCCAAGTATCAAATAGTGCAATTTCTAAAAAAGTTGGCAAAAACTATAAGGGCTGTGCAGTGAAAATTCCATAGCCGAGAGACAATACGATAGGAGCAGCTGACACCAGGGACATCTGGCAGCAAAGGAATGCACCGCAATTAAGGAAATCAAATAAAACCAACATCACAACATACATAAATGTGAGTTGTATTATTTGAAAATTTGGTCAAATTAAAATTTGAAGAACATATACCTGTCGACATTGAACTAAAATCATATAAATACATCATTAAAATCATATTGTATTAAACAAACATAAGGGGGAAATTTTAGCTCGTAATTCAGTTATCACTAAATAAATACAATTAAAGGAAACAACACCCTTAAGTTATAGTGAATACTTAGTAACTTAAAATTTTGTCGCTCAATAAAATAAAATTTAAAATTCAAAAACAAAATTTAATAAACTTAAACTCAACAACAATAACATCACATCACGACAATATATTCTATAATTAGCTATTTTTACTCTTTATTAAGATATTAAGCTAATTCAAACGAATCCTAAGAAATGAAGTCAAACAACATTCTCCGATGGTTTTGTTTGTAGGCTTCCGTGGCTGTAGTTAATGGTTGAATGTTTTCCGGGCTGGTTGTCACGTCGTCGGTTTATAACACTTGACGTTTCGAGAGACATATCGCTCTCTTCTTCAGAAGTTACTCTGAAACTGGAGATCTACAAGTCCTGTCACTATTTATATTTAATATGGTCACTGGTCCATGATGTTCCGATGGGTGACCTCGTACGCGTTGTTGACGTTCTAGTGGGTTGCTTTCACTGATGACTCTCTTCCATATACCTGGCAGATCCACGCCACTATCCCTGTTGAAGCTGTTCGGATTTCTGTAAATTTCTTAAGCTTCTCTGTATAGTCGGGGATAAAATCTTCTCTCTCTTTCACTCAGATCCACTGTGTGTCCTGTGTCCGCCCTATGCTTTGCTACTGCTGATTTTTCCCAGTTGTTATTTTTGAGGTGACTTTTGTGTTCTTTTAACCTCATGTTGATGTGCCTTCCTGTTTGTCCTATGTAGACCTTTCCGCAAGAGCAAGGAATACTGTAAACACCGGGGCCCTGGAGCTGGTCGTTGTTGCAGGTCTTTGGAAACGCTGCCGCCACCTGCCTTACAGTACTGAAAACTGTGTTGATATTCCTCTTCTTCAAAAGACGCCCAATTTTATCTGTACAACCTTTCACGTAAGGTAGATACGTCGTCGCTAAGTACTCCTGTTTCTTAATGGGTGTATGTCTCCTCCTGATAGCTCGTTCTATATTTCTCGCCTTGTAGCCATTCTTTCTCAAGGCCAAGTGTCTTGGCTCGCTGATGATCCGCGCTCGATGAATCAAGGTATTTATGATCCCCTGTTTTTGGGCTGGGTGGTGGTGGAACTGTGCAGATACCTGTCTGTGTGAGTTGGCTTCCTATATACTCGATGTCCTAAAGTGTCATCTGGTTTCCTCTCCACCAAAACATCCAAGAAGGGAAGAGCGGCGTTTTCTCTACTTCCATGATAAACTGGATATCTGGATGTATCCCATTGATGTGATCCAGGAAATCTGCTACGGTGTTGCGTCCGTGGGGCCAGAAGATTTTGGCCCCGACTATACAAAGAAGCTTTAAAAATTTACAGAAATCCGAACAACTTCAACATAGATAGTGGCGTAGATCTGCCAGGTATATGGAAGAGAGTCATTCGTGAAAGCAACCCACTGGAATGTCAACAACGCGTACGAGGTCACCCACCGGAACATCATGGACCAGTGACCACATCATATATAAATAGTGACAGGACTAGTAGATCTCCAGTTTCAGGGTAACTTCTGAAGAAGAGAGCGATATATCTATCGAAACGTCAAGTGTTATAAACCGACGACGTGGCAACCAGCCCGGAAATCATTCAAACATTCTCCGATACCAAAAGTCTAGGTATGCAAAAAATATCCAGCCTTGTGAAGATGGATGTCTTGTCTGTGGACAAGATTGCTAACTGGTCCCCACTATTATTGGATTACACCACGCTAATACTAATTAAACATTAAACATTTTTTATTGTTTGTTTAACTGATGATGCTGTTATGCCCCTAACCGAGCCTGTGAGCAATTTGTTCACTTTCGAATGAACGACATGGTCATCTATTGTTGCAAAATATACTATTTTCATTTTCCGTTTTACATCACAACTTGAATTGTTGGGTTAACTGTTAAAGAATATATGTTCATGCCACAATTTTATGTTAAAACATCAGGAGGGTATTTATTAGACTCGGGCGGAATGCGAAACAAAGTAATCGTCAGATAAGGAGCAACCCATAAAAGTTTTTTACGTCCGCTTCGTACGTTCATTACATATTCTTGGTCGCGTTCGCATGGAAGCCAGCCAAAAGCACCAAAAGTAAAATATGTCGCCCTATATTTTATTAAATAAAAAAGAAAGAATCCCCCCATTGCGCGCATTACAATAAAAACCTGGCCGCTCCTACAAAATGGCGAAAATATAATTTAGACGCTGCAAAAATAAAATCCACTTAGATATGCTCTGCTCTTGAATTTATTAATGAGCACTTGAATTCAAAATTGGATCTTATACAAAGGGGCCGTAAAGTCGCGTATCTGGCGTGGCCCGTTTATCTCGCCTTGTATCCAAAGCAACCCCATCCCTGGGGCCGGATAAGTTGGCCATGCATCAACACTTATCGCTGCTGGATAAATAACGCGTTACTAGGCTGTACGGTTCGCCACTTTCATTATCTTGTAAAAATACCCAGTGCTATCGCCGCTGGGCTGAATTAATAAAATAAATGAACTGGTCCCTCTTTTTCCACGGCGTACCATATTACACGCGTTTTTAAACTCGCCTGGATAACCTCCACGTCCGCCATTTTGGAATTATTATTACACGACGTAGAAATATTTCCGGATTTAACGGTGATAACAAAAGAATATAACATCGCTCTTAGGCCAGTCATTATAGCTTTTTTTCGGGAAAAAAATACTATTAGAAGTTTCTCTGCGGAATGTTGTTCCGAGTCGTGTTATAAACAAAATATCAAAAAATCAACTCGAGACTAGTTGGGAAACTTTGTTAAATCAATGGTCAAAATTATGGAAAAGTGGTTTTTTGACTCGCGTAAAAAAACTGTTACCCATAGAGAAAAAAGGTTCATAAGAAAACGGTAGGTATTAAATAAATCTGTAAAATAAGACAAGTCCGATTAAATTCCAATAATCTGTTTATGCGCAAGAGCTCAAAAATGGGCGAAATTGTCCGCTTTTTTCAATTGTTAATAATTAATGCAATTTTCATCGCAGACACTTGTAATTCAGGATTTTTAAAGGTCTTTGTACCCTTAATAAGTGGTAAAAATTTCAGCCCGAAAGCTTCATTAGCTTGGCGTTGGCGGAATTTATTATCTAAGAAGATGATGCTATTTTCAATTCATTTTTCCCAAGCTCACAGGCGTTGTAGGGTTTCGATCATTAGTTGTTTTTGTACCTAAATAGTTGTATTGACATATGCATTTACTGACAATTTAATTTTTCAAATTTAATTTGTTTAAAAATGACTTTGAAAAAATGTTAATATTTATTAAAGACAAAACATAAGACAAAAAATAAGAATTTTTTGTCTTATGAACTATATGTCTATCTCCTCTTGTTTTCGAGATACAAAGCGACAAAACAAAATTTTTTAAATAGAATTTTGACGAAAGATTCCAAACAGTGCGAAATATTTTTATAAAATTTGATATTCCGGGGTTTGTAAGGATGCCAAATACGCTGGTCTAATTATTTTTTGGATATTTCATAGAGGGTGTCAGTTATGCTACATTCCTATTACATTTTAAGTTCTAATTTTTTTAAGGTAAGGTTTTCTACCATATGGGCTCCAATTTCTAATGTACAATTTTATTTTGTAAAAATAATGTACTCTTGTTAGAACTTCCTAATGGACGGTTTTCGAGAAACAATAAATTAATTAAACTCTTACAATATTACGGTGTATAAAATAAGTGACTTTTCTCAAAGTAGGATTATATCAAAACTTATTAAACTCTAATTCAATTGAAAGCCTTTTTTCTCGAAAACCGTCCACATTAGGAAGTTTTAGTACATTATTTATGGAAAATAAAATTAGTACATTAGAAATTGGAGCCCAAATGGTAAAACCTAACCTTAAAAAATTAGAACTTAAAATATAATAGGAATGTAGCATAACTAGCGCCCTCTATGAAATATACAAAAAATAATTAGACCAGCTTATTTGGCATCCTTAAAAACACCGGAATACCAAATTTCATAAAAGTATTTCGCACCGTTTGGAAACTCGTAAAAATTCTATTTAAAAAAATTTATTTTGTCGCTCTGTATCTCGAAAACAAGAGGAGATAAGCATATAGCTCATAAGACAAACAGAATTCTTATTTTTTGTCGTACTATCACCCCTTGTATTTACGGGAGGTCTTTCTGAAACACCCTGTATAAGCGAGAAGCTGTTATTACATTGTGTCTTGCTTTGGCATTAAAACAATATCTATTAATTTTGCATTGCTGTACCCATCGGCCATTTTGAATACTTGTTAAGACTGATATTGTTTACATGAAAAAAAAAAACACACAAAAGGTCTATGAAGACCACAGTAATGAATAAATAAACATTTGTGAAATTAAATGGGCTGGAGCTACCTGAAGAGGCGGGCACAATAAACAAAATACATTTTAAGAAACACACTACAGTTGTTCATTTTCGTGGTGACTTTAAATATAACAACTTCAAAAATTTATTTTTTAAGGAATTTGTAAATACGTATACCTTATAAATTATTGGTGATGTCGATTTTATTTCTGGTGGTGCATAATAATATATACCCAAAGTTATGAATCATCCTGTATAAAGACCCGACGATTTCAGTTTAGCACTATATTTTAAGTAGTATTGTTTTAAAATAAGATGAAAGGACTATTGTTAGTCATTATTTTTTCTTGCTTCTGTAGAAATTTTGAAATAAAATAACAACACTATCTAAACTAAGTACGTGTTACTAAAATAATTTGATTCTGGATTGTGAAATGCTTATTTTGCATTCTAGGATGGAAAAAATCATTCAAGTGAACAAATGGGGCATTTCTCAATCGAGTATCAAGCAACCTTATTTTCCAACGCAAACATATTACTCAGTGAGTAGTAAGAAAATTTTTGTTTTATTAAATGCTGCACATTTATATGACAGTATTGGTTTGAAGTTTGAAGGTAGTCGTGAATCTCATTAATCGATGCACTAAATAACAGAAACGAGCTTGATTTTATGACTTCAAAATCCGAATAAGCCAAATCCTCACGGATAAAAACAATTTGGTATTGCTACAAAGATGTCTTCAACTTCAGCATGGGACTGTAAGATGTTTACTATAGAACGAGATCACAATCACCGAAATGAGAGAAACCGGTTGGTAACGGAAACGGAGTCCTTCGCGATCTGGGGCTAATGGTAAGGCACTCTTGCCTGTGCAAGGGAACAAAATCAACAAAAACAGTGAATTGTTGCAACATCTTAGAAGCTTGTTGTATCTCAGCAGCACTTCGGCAAATAGGAATGGACTTTCCAGCAAGACTCGGCGCCGGGTCAAAAGACGTAAACAACACATGAGTGGTGTGTGGCATACTCGTACTTTCCAAGTTTCACATCCGAGGAATATCTCGCCCCTTACTCCCTGGATCTAAATCTAATGGACTATAGTATATAGTCAATTTTGGACGCCAGGCCCTGTATTAAACTCAGTAACAATTTGTGGTCGCGTAAGCAATAGCTACTTTAAGAATGGGATCGAATTTTGCATCGAAATTTTCAGGAATTGTTTATCTGTTGTAAGCGAAGAGTAATGCTTTGCTTAATTTAAAACTGCAAAATATGTAATACTGCCTCTATCGTACACCAATCTTGAAAATAGTAAATTTGCGGATTGTTGTCCGTAATAATTTAGAATTAACAATTCGTAAGCAATTCTCAAACTTGATTTGTACGCGCCTAGGTCATCTACCGCCTGGTGTTAAAGTGTAATTTATAACATGTGGATTCTATTAAAACCAGGAGATCAAGTGATTTTATGAATGCTTAATTTTTATTCAAGTTATATTATGGTTCATGGGCAATGAGTCTTTATATATTATCTATTTTTTATTACTATTATTTATTAATAGTTCGCAAATAATTCCAGAACTTGATTTACACTGGTCTTGGTGATACTCAACATTTTATCTACCACCGGGCGTAAAAGTTACCTTTATGAACTAGTTTTCTAGGAATTAACTTTAAATTCTAGCGAGCAAGTTCTGTTATGGTCCGTGGTCGATAGAATACCTTTATAAATATATTTTCTTGAAAACAACACTAAACTGCTGTTCACAATTTCTGTCATAGTTGTTCATTAATATCTTCCGCGAGACTTTTGTATTAACTTTGGAACGCAAATCACTAAAAATGTATCGGTTATCCTTTACAGATCTTTCACCCAGTGTGTGTAATTTACCAACTTCCAAACGTATTACGTGCGTATAACTCAAGTAACACAAATAGCCACTATCACAAAGAGAAAATCAATTAGATTTGTTCATCGAGAAAGCAAGCAGTCGGTCATCATAACTAAATTTAGTAAATCCATCTGCGGACGGGATCTTGCGATAAAGTAAAGTCGGCTTTGTGTTGTTCAGGAGGGGACTCATCAATATCCGCCAGTCTGTTATTGCAGGCATGAGTCTCTTTCACCCCATGTATATATTGGGGCTGATCGTCGGCCACTGCACTTGACAAATAACGATCTATTAAATTGGCGAGTTTGTATTTTCGGAAGAGGTTTCAAAAAAATGGAATATCGTTCGATGGAACGCTTCAGAAAATTAAAAATAAGATACCGATGTACGGGCTTAATCCTGGACTTGAAATACAATTAGTTGTTTATACTTTTTGTCAACATAAAGTTTGTTTCATTTATTTTCTGAAGATATTTATGCAAATTACAGAAAATGCGAAATCAATAGAGATATAGAGAAAAATTAGTAGAATACGAATTAGCGATTAAAAAATATTTAAAATGTATATTTACGCTGAAAAAAAAAAATTTTCAATTCATTATTTACACCCCTTTTCGGGCCGCTCCTGATCGGCATTGACACATTCACGGCTCCCAAGTCAACTCAATTTTGCCAAATTTAAACATTTTCCTAGGATATATTATAAATAAGCGATTATATTGGCTATTTTTGAAACTCATGTTTTTTCTTGCTCACTTCAGGTAATGATAATTTAAAATGTTAAAATATGTAATTAATGATATAAATTATTTTTTAAGGTATGAGCATGCTTTGACTAAAAACAGTTTATTAACATACTAATGTTAATTTTCCAAGCAGTGACGGTTGGTGAAATTTATGGTATGCCATATCTCAATAACAAGACATGGGACATAGATAACGTTTGTAGAAGGAGACCGATTTTACAATTTTGCGGTATCAAAGACCCAGTATCGCGAAGACTCGAAAAATGTTGTCTATGTGGGGAACGTCTCCGATATTCTGCTGCGGCGAAATTCGCATTTCCATATAAAACCACCATTTCAAAATTCTCAAAATTAGCCATTAAGACCGACACGCGAAACACTCCGAAATAAACTGCGGATTGTATTGCATTCTGCATATTTTCTACATATCCCCTCTCCATATGTATGATGTGGTCTCCAAATTTGATGGAATACAATGCGGAAGATACGATTGACGGTTATTACTATTTATGTGGTTCTGATGTGAAATGCTGTTTTGCTTCAGTGTTCGAACGTTTTGTGGTCTGCCGGCAGAAAGTGTGAGGGCGCCGAATTAACGGCAGTTAAG